AGTGGGAAGCAGTACATAATCTTGTCCAATCGATAGGCTTTAAAAATATAGATGATATGAATATTCTTTCAAGTGATGATATAGCTAAAACTTTTAAGCAATCACAGAAAAAAATCGTTAAAATTCGAGAAGATGTATTATTACTCTTTGGCTTTAAAACCAGAGCTAAAAGAATACCAGATCTTAATACTACAATAAAATTTATTAATGCAATATTGAGTAATTGGTACGGTTATACTATCAGAAGTAGTACAACTCATATAGGTTCAAGAACTAATAGAGTATGGAAGAAAACTTATTGGATTTATCGCAAACTATATAGTAGAGATAGTTTTGTAACTCAAGAAGAAATAACAGCTATAAAGGTAAATAATTCTAAATATTTTCCTATAAATCCAATTTTTCTATTATATAAACCAGAATTGATTGATGAAACTCAGGATCTTTTCGATTCTATACCTATTACTAATAATATTACTTCAGAATGTACAAAGTATGAAGTTTCTGACTTATCTAATAATGAGATTGATGAAAAAGATTTATTCTTAGAAATGCCAGCTCAATATGATGCAGAACATAGAAAGAATTCTTCTCAAGAAATATACTACATTGATATTACTACTTTTGAAGCCAATACATATGAGAAAGAAATATCTGATTTTTTAATTTCTTTATATTCAGAGTTTCTCATTAAAATGAATCTGATGTGGATATACTTATCTTCTATCTACAACAAAAATTTCAAATGTCTTAAGAAAAGTTAGAACAATAGAAATTTGAGATTGCTTTTGAAATGTGAGATAACCAAAATTATTGGAAAAAAGAGTGCGAGAGTATAAGTAAGGCTAACTTCTTATAATATAAGTGAAATTTTGAAACTAAAATAGATGTACCTACTACTCTGCACAAAAAAGAATTAAAAAATAAATCTTTAGCCCTCATTGAATATATGTAATTATTGTACAATCTAATTAAGTAGTATACTTCTAGCAAAAGGTATATTGCTACATTTAACTAATCAACTATTCATTTCAGGTAAGACTATTTTTGTCATCTCTTACAATAAGTGCTAGAAAAAATCCAAATTGAAAATTAGGTAGATAATTATAATCATTTTTGTATTGTGTAATTTTGATCAAAATGCAGTTTATATATAAAGTAAATAAATTCAATTGATAACCATTTTTGTATCGCAAAATTTTTGATAATGGGCCAAGTTCAGAATATAAGATTGCATAGATAAAATCATTATTCAGTTAAGATATAATTACTAATCTTATAAAG